CCTACCTACCTACCTACCTACCTACCTACCTACCTACCTACTTACCTACCTACCTACCAGGATTTCTATGACAAGCTTTTGAGCATGCACACCAGTTTTGCCTTATTTATGAAAATTTCTTACCTTTTCCACTGCTGCATATCTACTAACCAGCTGTTTTCGCAAATCAGCAATATGATGGTCATACTTTTTCATATCTTTCTTGAAGTTTTCACGGAAGTTGAGTAGTGGTTTCTCCACTTCTGCCTGGAGCTGGCATAAATGAAAAAAGAAAAAAAATGGTTTAAGAGGGGTGGGGATGGGGGAGAAATACTTGGATTTAGAGTAGGAGAAATGGGAGGAATTCTTCCTTTCTGAATTTTAGAGCCAATTAGTTTCTACACATTGTGGGGTAGCAATAAACAATCTTGGCTAAATACTAAGATAAATCAGTCAGATTGGCTTGTTGTTAAAAGCCAGAAAATATTGATAATATGAACTAAACAAGAGAGTTAAAAAAAGTCCAACCTATTTCTATCCTCCTGTCAAGAAAACTATATGGACTATATGTGCCTGAAGCTATTAGGACTTGAAGTTTACATGAAAAAAATGCTATCCCTTTTGCATGGGAGGAAGAACTGGAAAGTGCTGTAGAAAGTTCTGAAAAGTAGGAAAAAGCTAAGTGATATAATCATGGATTTCATATCTGTTTTGATCTTCAGATATCTGTGTGAAGCAAACACTTCAAAGCAAGAGAGGAAGAACATAATCCTGAAGATTTCAAAGCAGTTGCCACTTCAACAATGAGATATATACGGATTTTCTGTTTCTCTCTCTATGTTGAAGGTACGGGGATAGTAAATTTTGAAACAAAAAATGAACACTTAAGATACAATTCCTGCAGGATTTGATTCCTGACACTTAGAATAGCCTATTCTAAAATTTCAGCATTTCAGAAAGGAATCAGTTACTTTCTTAACGGTAAATAAGTTACAATCCAAATTGAATGGTTGTCCAAATATCATCAATTATAAAATATTGGGATTGCAATCTTGTATGCGATGATGAAAACAGGAGTTGCTTAAGTAATAAGTAGCCAGTTTTTACTACTATTACCACTACGATTAATATCTTGATGAGCGCTAGGATATTAATTTTTTTGGGGGGGAGGAGAAACTGAAGTAATGATATTGTCCAATCCAGGCTATCAAACTTGTGGTGTTACGTTGTTGCCTTGTGATGTATTGTGACTCCCCCCCTTTTGCTAAAATGGGAGTAGGTGTGGCCAACGCGTGATGCATCTGGCCTGCGGGCCGTGAGTGTGACACTCCTGGTCCAATCACTGATAAACATTAGCACATATTTAAATTAATATCCTAGCG